AAAATTAGGGGCAGAGATCCCAGACACACGCTCAGTTCAGTGATCGGTTCGAGAAGACATGATCATCTCATGGGCATTCTTGATTCGGAGAGGCCTTAGATAATCAAATTTCTCTTCAGGTGTCTGGAGCCATTAGCCTGGAGTCTTTGAGTTCACAACCAGGAGTTTCTGGCCTACAACACATCTTACATATTTAAAATCTTATCTTTCCTGTAAGTGAGAGTTTTAGATGTTAAATGTCCCTCATTTATGGTCCATGTTGGTCATTATCATAACCAAAGTCTGAAGACTTACTCCTTACTCTGGGCCATTATAATGTAAATGAACTTTATATTTCAAGAACTCTAGGCCGTGCGCCGGGAACGGCCTGGCCAGCGCCCCTCCAAGTCCTTGCTCAGTTTCAAAGGTGGAGGGTGGTGTGGTGGTTAAGGGTGCTGCACTCCCTGTTGAGTATGGTTCAGGTCCTGGACCTGGTGGCTTGCTTTCCCTCTCTCTCTCTATTTCTCTCTCTCTGTCCCTCTCTGGTCAAATTAAAATAAAATAAAGTTAAATGAAATAATTCTTAAGAAAAAGAATTGAGGGTGAGGAAACAGTGGTATAACAAGAGAGGGGAATTTCAAATAGAAATGATAAAATTAGGGATATGATGATGGAGTTAAAGACTTAAAAGTTAAGTAGAGGAAAGAGAAAGTATTACATTTTATAAGTATTACATTTTACAAGTATTACATTATCATAATGGACAAAAGTCAGACATCTGACAGCTTTTTTGTATTCTAAAATTATTTATCTCAAAGACATTTCAGTATCTTGAAGGCCAAACCAGGGCAGCTCGTCATCCTATTCTGAATAGGAACATCAGTAAGATGACTGATCCTCCTAACCAATCTCCTCTATTTCCCTGAAAGTCTTTGTAAAATCCAGACACTTGAGAAATGGAACCTTAAGCATTCTCTCCTCTTCCATGTCTTCCCTTTCACCGGCTTCCCCATCGCATCCAGTTGGTTACCAACCTCTCTAGCTGTTTATTTACTCCTTAATAAGCCCTATCTTCTCTCAGAAAGCTGCTTAGCACTGCACCACTTAATTTCTCCTCGAGGCAGAATCTGCCAGATGGAGTCTACGTCCCAAGTCCTGTTGATTTGTCTTATTTTTAAACAGCAGCGAACATCACATGAAACTAAAATAGCAGTCAGTTCCCAGGTGTGGACTAGCTGAGCAGGGGGATGATCAAGAGTGCATGGGCACATCCACCTGGGGCAGCTGTTCCAAATGGGCTAGATTAATGAGGGGATGGCTTCTGCAGGCGGCTCCCAGCCAGCTGCTGGTCACCTCTGGGTGTCACTCAATGCAGGAGCACGCTGCTTTTCCGCTTCAGCTGGATCCAGCCACTCATCACCTCCCCTGACTGGACCCCCTTAGGCTGTGTATCCTTCTCCACAAACATGCTCCTGATGTTTGAGGAGACAAAGTGAATCCTGGAGAATCAGGTGACCAGCACAAAGTGTCCCAGTACAAAACTGAAATGACCCTGATGTCTCATTGTTTATCCCTAAAATTCCTATAAAATTTGCCTCTGATTCCACAACATAACCACATTTAAGTTGCTATAAATATAATTCTTTCAGTTATGTACCAGCTAATTTATTAAACATTGTCACCAAAAAAAATAATAATTTTTAAAGAAAACATCCAGGGAACCAGCAGTTAGCATAATGGCTATGTCGCTGGACTCCCACGTAGTCGACCGCGGTTCTCGTTCCGGACCCGGTGGCTTAAAACTCACACCAGGCATGTGTGCGTGCGTGCCCAGGACCCCGAGAGGAGAATGGAGGAGAATGGATTGCGGCGTGACCATCCCCCCTGGGGGGTGATTTCTAGCTTTCTGTCTCTATGTCTCTGTCTGTCTGGTGAGCACACGCGCCCTATAGCAAAAAAAAAAAAAGAAAGAAAGAAAACATCCAAAAATCACACTACTCCTCCTACTAGGTATTATTAGTCATCCAACAGGGTATCTATCAATTGGGTAAGTGTGCTTCTCTTTGGGAAGCACAATCCCAGAGAAGGGCAATCTCTGTCTGGGGAGAACAAATGGACAACAGTGACCACAAATGGTTCTTCACTACCACATGCTGTGCTAAGGAAGAGAGGATTCCATCTGAAGAAAAGAAAGAAGCAATTATCACTAATATAGCAGTGAGCTCTTTGGTATCCAATCAATGATAATCAGAGACTGCCACACCAGGCGTGTGGGCATGCAGGCCCTAGGTTCCAAGAGAAGGGATTGCAGCATGGCCATCCCCACTGAGGGATGATTTCTCATTTTCTATCTCTTTCTCTCTCTCTGGCTCTCTGGCAAGCATATGTACCCTATAGGAAAAAAAAAAAAAAGCTTCTCAAATAAAAAGAGACTTCTATGATTATCATTTGTAGATGGTTCCATAGTCCTTATGATACCTGAGTCATGGTGGGAATCACTAAGACAACACTCCAGTGGAGCTCCATGTGTGTCCCTAAACATGTATCAGTATATTGCCATAAACTCAACTCCATAGCCTCCAACTTCTATCCTAAAATAAGCAGTGGGGTCCTTTATTAAAGGGGAAGAATGAGATTCAGCATTCAAGGTGAGGGCAGCTGGCCTTTCCTTTGATATGCTTCTGGATTCAGCATTCCCAACCAGACCTTCTGAACTACTGTGCTCCAGAAGTGAGGGCAATCAGGACACTGCTCTGAGTCAAAGGCATTCTCCCTAAATCCAATCTAGAATCTCAGGTGGGCTGCTGAGATTATAGTGATCAACTGAAATTCTACATTCCCAAAGGCATTATCGAATAGAAAACAGAAGCCATGGGGAGAAAATAGAGGAATAGACAAGTTGAATGATAATCCTTTGTTCTATGCAGCAGTTTTTCTGTTATATTTAAGAATTCTTTTTTTAAGTGTTCTTTCAAAAAGAAAATAAAAATAAAAACAACAGAAAATCAGTTCCTCCTCCATGAGGAAACTAATCTGCCCCACGTAATGAACAGAGGCTGACTAAAGTGGTGTGGGGCAGAGCAGAAACATAGGCTATGTGAATTGATTGCAAGTGCTTGGAAACCTGTCATATGCTTCTGCATATAGAGAAGAATCATTGCTAAAATGACACAGATTCACTGCCCCCAAATATTCAGAGGTAGTCTCAATTGCCATTTGGATTATATTGCCCACAAACTGATTTGACCATGCCTGCTGCACTGAGCTCCCAGAATTATAGGGGCACTTTTCACAGAACCCTGTGGTCCTTTTGAGTTACAAGGTTGCTCCCCAATTCTAATGTCCCCGGTTATTGTATAGACTGATCAGATCTTCCTTTGGCCTTCCAAATGGAAGCACCTTCATTTCAAGGAGTCAGGCAAGTCCTATGGGAGAATCATTAATAGCCATAGAGATGGTATCTTAAGAGAGCTTGTCTGGGGTTCTGCAAAGGGACCCACAGAAGGGAGGAAGACACCAAAGCCCTCATGTTCCTCAGGACTTTTGTGAAGTCAAAAAGAAAAGTGGAATTCCAGCATGACTCTGCAGGAGAGTGGATCTTTGACGCCCTGACAGCAGTAATTCCAGCAGGAGCATGGGCAGGAACATGCCTAGAGGAGCTCCGCATCAGTGAAGAAACACAGCAAAGGAAGCTGCCTTTCCAAGCCTGGCTGAGCTCAGAGGCACAAGCTTCCAGTCATCTGGGCTCAGCTAGAAGCTCACATGTTAAATACTAGTCTGGTTACAATCTCACGCTCACAGAGGACAACTCCAACTGTGGCCTTAGAAGAGCCCCCACCTCTAGGAAAGGTCACGAAACTGTGTTACACAAAAAATAACTTAAGACACCAAGAAAGTTAAACTTGGGTACACATGTCCAAAAGGCTTCATAGGACACCTGATAAATGCTTTATAAATTTAGGAAGTGCAGAAGATAGAATAGACCAGATTAACTGGGAGAGCAAAACTTTGGCGAGGCAAAAGAAAGACTTTATGAAATGAGAGTGCTTTGAAAATGTAATGTATTGCTTGGGTAAGTGAGGAATCCATTGCTGGAGGTAAAAAACAGAGACTAGAATACCACCTGAATAGAGAATACCCCACGGTGCGAAAACTGTGGGCTTTGGGATCAAGTTGGACCTGAGCTGAGATTCCGGCTCTATTTTTATGAGACTGGAAAAAAAATTTGACCTTCAATCTCCTCATTTGTCAAATGGGTATGATAATATCTACTCCAGTGGGTTATTATGCAAGTAAATGAAATATTAATTAATGTTAGTGTTTGTCACATTAGGAATGCTAAGTTTGCAAATAACAATGCTCCCATTGTTATTATTCAAGCTTGATAAATTACATGGGAAGATAAAGTGTATGATTTCCTCAAATTTCTTCAGTCCTCTGATTCTATGGTTACTGTCCATTACATCCCATTAAAGTTCCTGGTGCTTTCTTCCCAGTTCTCTCAGTGCCCAGAGTTTTCATTTCAGGCTTCCCTGGATCTTCCAAGACAATGGTTGATACAGTCACCTCTCTTATTTTAACTCTCCTTCCCCTTGAAAAACAATATGATTACTCTCCTATAACCCAGTTCTTTGGTGATCATCAGCTATTGTGATAAGTGATGTAATCAAGAGTACTACATTAATATGACAGTACAGTTAGTTACCTGTACTTTACTTTTTTTTTCTTCTGCTCAGAAGCAAGGGCTGAGTACAGTACCAGGTCAATAGCTGGCAGTCCACCAAAATTCTAAATAACCATGAGGACAAATTTTCTAGTGGGATTCTACAGATCATGTGTGCTTTAGAGAGATTACAGTGGTGGTTATTTTGGCAAGATAGAATATAGAGCAGTCTTGTGACAGGCTGACTTGGGAGACATGTTAGGTGTAGGTGGAACCTTCCTCCACTCACCCATTAGTTTTCTGAGCAGTCTCAATGCTCCCACTAAGATCTTTGCCTTTCTTTCTCCCCCACCCTCAGACAAGAGCAGAGCTATGTGCAGAAGCACTGGAAGGACGTGCGAGTGGGAGACTTCGTCCAAATGCGATGCAATGAGATCATCCCAGCAGACATACTCCTCCTCTTTTCCTCAGACCCCAATGGGATCTGCCACCTGGAAACTGCCAACTTGGATGGAGAGACAAACCTCAAACAAAGGAGTGTTGTGAAGGGCTTCTCACAGCAGGTAGGGCTCTCTCTAATATCTTCAGTGGCAAGGTCAAAGGAAATCAGCAAAACAACTAGGAGACTGAACCTAACTGCTGGGTCAAGGGGAAAGTGGTGGATGCCTCTACTACAGACAGCACCTTTCCCAAGTACTTTGGATACATGTATTCTCTCAAGTAACCCTCTCAGATAAGTAGTACCCCCATATCACAGATGAGGTTTAGGAAAGTTTTATAACTTACTGAAGGCCTCAGGGTTTCTAAGTGAGAATCCACTCTGACTGTGGAAGCTGTACTCTCTTTCCTAAACCAGAAAGTCTACTCTCTATTCAATTATGCTTGTGACCAGCCCTACTTTCTGTGTTCATTCTGCTGGGCTGAGCTATAGCAATCACTTCTAAGAATCATCTCCTAATACACCTTTAACTCCTCCTAAACTGCAGCAAGGTATTACTAGCTATTTTTCCACTTTTGAATATCTTTCTCAATGGTGCTAAACCCTCCTGGAGGACAGGGAGCAGTTACCAACAATTTTGTTTAATCTTCCCACTTACATAAATAGTATCTAGGACATTATGAAGAAATCATTGGTGGTTGCAAGCCCAGCCTCTGTGTCTGACAGAGCTGGGTTCAAAAACCAGGTCTCACCACTTACTAGTGGTCTCACCTTGGGCAGACACCTCTTATACATCAGTTTCTTCATCTGGAAAATGGGGATAAAATAGTACTTTCTCCAGGGGAATTCTGAAGATTACATGATTTATTTATCATGAAGATAAGCACACAGTAAGAGACCAGGAAATAGTTGGCATAATATCAATGACTTTCACAAGCAGTGTGTGTTGACTGATTTGAAGCTATGTGTGACATTTTAATTTTCAATTAAAATTCCCCTTGTGGAGGTTGTTTTCCAACCTGGCACATTTCTCTAGCCATGAAAACCAATCAAATGTTATTACTTTTCTTCACTCTGGCAGTCTTTGGCTGGTGAGAAATTGACAAAGCCAGGGGATTCAGGATAATAAAGGCAAATGCTTCCTTCCTATGAGATTCTCATGAGCTGGAGTTTAAGTTATCTAGACTGAAACTTCTCAGGAGGAGACAGCTCATCATACCTCATCATACCTCTCTCAAAGCACCTGATAAACAGATCTCATAAAATCCTTTCTGTGTGATTGATTCAGTCCTCAGAAGTCTATTCTCTCATTCTTACGCTGGGAATAATCATAGCTCTCCAATAATTTTGCTAGGAGAGTCAAATGGCAGAAGGAAAGCACAGAACAAAATATAAAGTTTGGTACCTAGGAAGGCACGATTAGGAGTGACTACTGCTGCTACTGGACCTGCATTCACTCCCCGAAAATGGACACCACTGTCACCACACTGCCATCATTGTGCTGCTGGTTACTGCTCCGGCTTAGCCTGCCACATGATCAATCACTAACTTGGGGACTGTCCTCTGAGTTTCCTCCTTTACTTGTCCCTGCCATATTCCCTGATTGCTTCAGTGTTTACAAAAAGGCAGGGCAAGATCTGGTCTAAATTTACAAAGTCATTCTAGACAAACAAAAGCAATCTATTTCTGGGCTGTGGCCCTGTGGCCACCCTCTTGAGCAGAGGCTTTCAAATCTATTTAACCAGAACTCACAATAAGAAATTCCTCTTCCGCATAGATATGCACATGTAAAAGTATGTGTGAGTGTGTAAAACTGCTGCCTTACCTGACCACATGCAAAGCCCTTTAAGACTTCCTATTGCGTTTCATTTTTGTAAAGTTCTGGAAGCAGTGAAACTTGTGTCTGGTTACAAATCTCCCATTCAGCCTTCCCACCTGACATCCTTGTCCCAATTCTGAGTCTTTTTAACTCTCCATTTGGCAGTTATTTCAGTATTGTTGAGTTTCAACTGGAGTCTTTCTTTTTGTCTTTGGTAGAAGCTTCCAAATTGTTTCTTGCATATTAATTTTAAAATGTAGGATTTATCACATCGGGCACATGCGTGCCCAAAATCCCAAGAGGAAAATGGAGGAGAAGGGACTGCAGCATGTCCACTCCCCCAGGGTGATTTTTCACTTTCTGTCTCTCTCTGTTTCTATGGTGAACATACACAACCTATAGCAAAAATCTGAAAAAAAAAGAAAAAAAAGTGGGATTTAACTAATCCCACTAATGAAGAGTCAGGTAAAAGGGTCATTTACACTTCAGTGCTACAGAACAGACAATTTAGTAAGTCTCTCAAACTCTAACCCTAAGTTCTCACAGGGTACTTATTGTGATGATATAAATTATTTGTATGTGAAAGGAGGATTTTATTTGACCTTGAAAGTTTCCAGAATTCTCTGTCTCAATTCTCTATTCTCCCCCTCACTTTGCTCAAATGTGTGTTTCCATGTAAACAACAATAAACTTGTACTGAGTTCATACCAAGGGCTTTGCATTATTATCTAATTTATGCTCAAACCACCCAAATGAGATAGGTACTGTTATTATCTTTATTTTACATATAAGGAAACTAGGGCATAGAAAGGTCATATTACTTGCACAGGCCACTGAGCTGGGAAAAGTTGGAGTCAGGACTCAAAGCCAGGTTCATTCAGAGCATAGCTCTTGAAGCCTGCAGTAGTTCCTTGCCTTGGCCTGTTGACTATTGACTTGAGTTATATACAGAGATACTTACTTGAAAGCACACATTTAACACTTTCAGTATTCTTTCCACACATAAGTATAAAGTGGCAGAAAAAATAAAAGTAGGCTTAGCCCATTCTCTGGGAAGTAGGCATTTTGGCTGCTCTTTGCTACCTTGCTTTTCCCTTATATCTTTAGTGCAGAAAGAAAGAGTTCTGAATATGGATAGAACTCACTTCTGGCTAACTCTCTCTCTGATGTGTTGAACAAAGATGTCGATAAGAGTTGCAGGAAAAATAAATGTTGCAAGGTCAAATAAGATCATAAGACAATAGATTATAAGTTTTCAAATACTATGTACCGCAGGACTTGTTAGCTACTTTAACAAGCCCTAAGGAAGAGAAGGGCCAGGTACTTACATGGAATTTCTAAACATTTAACTACAGAAAATTTTCATTCCAAAGAACATATCCTGCAACTATGGAAGAAGTGGGATCACCATGTACAGAGTTGCTGCAAATATACTTCAGGTGTTTAGGGTATGTTACAACCATCACAAAGGAAGCTTTTAAAAATATACATGCATCCCTTCTTACTACTTCTCTAAATTAGGATTCACTATTAAACAGTATGAGGCCTGAGAATATGTATTTTTAAAAATGTTCCCCCATAAAATCTTGATATGAACCTACTGCCACCTCCTTGCAAACCTATACAACAAACAGAAGGCACCCTAAAAATACCAACCATAATTATGAGAACAAAACTATCATATTTATGCTGCTTCTTATGTGCTAGTGCCTTTGTATGTATTGCCTATTTTAGGTCTTACAACCACCCTCTGTGGTAGGCATACTATGCCCAGTTTACAGATGAATACTCTGATGTACAGAAAAGGAAAATGTCATCAAATATCTCAAAGATGATTTTGAACACCTATACATATGATTTGTTTAAAAATTCAGTGTCTCAACTAATAAGGATTAATAGCATTCATTAACTTATTTTAGTCTGTGAGACCTTTATCTTGTCAAAACAGTTGTTACTAACCACAGGGATTCTAGAAACTCCCTCACCTCACACATATACCCACATCTATTTCCACTATCTTTTGGATAATGACAGATTATAATATTCTGTTACTTCAAAGTTGTAAGGTATACTCTGCCCCAGTTCTCACAGATCAGCATTTATCAAAGCTGGTGCCTGATACACTTTCCAAGACACAGTTCTTAAAAAACAAGGTTCATGGACAAATCAGATGAAGAAGCTGAGACCAGCGGTTAGCGTAATGGCTATGTCGCTGAACTCCCACGTAGTTGACCACGGTTCGAGTCTTGGACCTGGTGGCTCAAACACACCGGGCGCATGTGCGTGCATGCCCAAGATCCTGAGAAGAGAATGGAAGAGAAGGGATTGTGCTGTGGCCATCCCCCCTGGAGGGTGATTTCTCACTTTCTGTCTCTCTGTCTCTCTCTGTCTTTCTGGCGAGTGCACACACCCTGTAGCAAAAAACTCTAAGAAAAAAAAAAATCAGATGAAGAAGCTTATGTCTTATAAACCCCTCTTAGGGGTGCCAATGTTTATTAACATGTTAATGCCTCTGAGAAAACCTGAAGTCAACAGGCTTAATAAACATTTTAAGTCTGAGGTCTCCAAATTTATTTAACTTTGGGAACATTCTTCAGAACAATTTTTTTTATTGCCAGAGGGCATATGCACTTACCAGGGAGAAAGAGGCAAGGGGCATAGTCAAGCTGCAATCCCGTCTCCAATTTTTTTCATCCTATAGAATCCCTACACATGTGTTTTTCAAGTGGCCAGATCAGGTTTTGAACTGCAGTTGTCCATATGGGATCAAGCTCCTGTAACCATTGGACTATGGGGCTAGCCAAAAGAACATCTTAAAAGGGTCTTTCTCTTGTGATACCACAGATTACTCTCAAGACTTCCAAAGAGATAGTTTCAAAATCCTTTCCTTAGACTTAATACTGGACGAAGCCAACTTTTTTTGCAAACTGTTCTCACATGGGCCACATACAAAATTATTGACCTATTTTTGAAATATTTATTACCACAGCCCATTCCTGAGAAAAGAAAGAGAAGGGAAGTGTTCTAAAATTAGGATTATGTTAAGAGACCCTAAACCTTGCCCAACTGGCAAGGGGAATTCATTAGAGAATTAAATTGTACTGTTTTCTCTTTGTTGACATTCTGACACCTAAAACCTCTTTCATAAAAGGGTTTGAGCCTACGAATGTAACATTTGAAAATGAGTATATGCCATTCACTCTTGTAAATGCAAAAGTTACCAAACCCAAACAAATCAGAAATGAATTCTTCCAATGAGTTTTTCTATCAAACATGTTCCTGGTTATCTATTATCCAAATCATTG